CGTCTCTCTTCACCATAAGCCCGTGGATGTTATTTCTGTTAGAGGAAGAACAGTGGTTTTCATCTTAGCATCAAGGCTAAAAAAGTGTATTTTTCTCACTTGGTTTGTTGATGCCAATATTACTCCAGTGTGTGCCAACTAAATCAACTTTTTATTAGACAGTGAATTGCTGCCAGAAATATCAAAAGCAACTCCTCTGCTTGAAACTCATAACATGGGAATATTATGAAGAAGTTAACCTGAAAAATGAGGCGTGCAAAGCTATATGTGTCTGTTTTTATGGTAAATACAGAAAGTTTTATATTATATCTGAGCCAATATTTAAGATTAGAATGTCAAAGCTCTTCAAAAAAACATGTTGCCCAAAGCATTTTAAGGTTTAACTCTGATCAAAATATGGAAATATGACATTAACTTTAAAACGAAAACATCACAAAATGACACTTAAAGGTCCTATATTAAAATAAATTGATGTCATGTAATAATGTTGTTACCTCCTCAAAAACAGACCTGGAGTTGTGTTTTGTTTCATTCACATGTTTGAGTAACTCTTTGTTATTAGTCTGTCTACATCTCCAAACCTCAAAATGTTCTGGTCCACCTTGTGATGTCATGAAGTTTCCAAGTTAAGATCTACCTTTTACCTGTTTGTTCAGTAGAGTTTGGCAATTCCAGGGCTGAAATCATCCAAATGATTCAAGTGTGAAGTGTGTGGAGTTTAAAATCCGTGTATCATTCATTCATTCCTTTTTCAATATAAAACCAAAAGTGAGAAAATGAAAAAAGCAACGAAAATGGAAAAAACGCTAACAATTCGTTTGTTCACTTTTCGATTTTGTGTTTAAATGAATAATGGAAAAAAACAGATAATGGCTGTTTCCCATTTCCGTGACTTAAACGGCGGACTGAACCAAAACCAGGACTAAAACAGAACTAAACCAGGTCCAGGACCAGACCGAGACCAGGACTGACACCAGGACTGACACCAGGACTGACACCAGGATTGAGACCAGGATTGAGACCAGGATTGGGACTGAGACCGGGACCAGAGCAGAACAGAGACCAGGACTGAAAATGGTTTAGTCCTGGTTTAGTCCTCATTCAGTCCCGATTCAGCCTGTATGCAAAAACTGAAAAAAAAAAAAAAAAAAAAAAAAAAAAAAAAAATGAATCGTTATCTGCTTTTTCAGTTTGGTTTTGGAGACAAATAGTGAAGAAAATTGTTGTTTTTTTGTTTTCTTATTTTTGGTTTTATATTAAAAAAGGAATGAACAAATGATACACAGATTGAGCTCTTCCGATATTACCACATGACATTACAGGGCGGAACAGAGTGTTTTCGGTTTAAGAGAAGAAATCAGCCTAAATATGCAGGGTTTGTGTGTTAAACAAAAACAACTCCAAGTATGTTTGTGATGATGAAACAACATTATGACTACATACAGAGCGCAGCCACAAATCAGATTTTTTTGCCCCTATGTGACCCGTGTCTGATCTTTTAATAACAGTCTGAATGACACAGATCCGATTTTTTCAAATGCGACCCAGGCCACTTGGATTTGTGTTTAAAACCGATACATATCCGATCTTTTGACATGTGACTTCAGTCTGAACAGCCAGGTCACATTCATCCCACCTACACGTCACAAATGTACACAAACGTGCTTCTTGTCATACGAAAATTGTGTCTGAATTCCGTGTCGGTGAAGTAGTGAAGAATGCAGCAATCCCACCGCTCTTGGCTGCGACACTGCACCCACATGTTCCTTTCTACTGACGTTGCTGCCACTGCCCCACAAAACGGTCAAAAACCTCATCCTTCTCAATCTCCTCCTTAAAACAAATAAGCTGTTCATGTTCTGGCTCCGGTACGACAGCAACTTTAAAATCTCCAGGTGCTCAATGCTCACGTCCATGTTAAGGTCTCCAGCGCACATGTGAGACACTTTTGAGGCTTTTAAAGTTCACACTGGAGATCACATACAAGTTGCATTTAACTGGAAATATGAACGACCTCACAAAAAAAATCTAATTTCACAAAAAAATTTAAAAGTCTAAACGTAAACTTTAATACAAATCAGAAAACAGTATCATATTTTTTTATCTTACATCAGGGGTGTCAAACTAATTTTGTTCCGGGGGCCATATCCAACCTACTTTAATCCCAAAGGGGCCGGATCAGAAAACTCATGGCATATAAACCCCCCAAAATAACAATAAGTTCAAATATTTGTGCAGAGAAATGCAAATCTATTACAGAAATCTTTTTTAATTGATGAACTGTTTCTTATTATAATATTATAATATTATGAACAACCTGAAACTTTAAGAAAAATTCCATTTCAACACAATGTTTTAACATGAACTTGTTTGCAAACAGGAATAAGTCAGTTTTTCTTGTAAAATCCTGCACTCGGCTCCACTTTCTCATGTTTGACATTTTTCTGATGAGGGTGTCACGGTCAAGAGTCAAAACGATCGTCCTTTAAGAGCGTTTGGAAAGAGACAAGTCTTCATTTGTGCTGCTCTGGTGGGAGGGGCCACGTACTGAGACGCTGGAGACGCTGCTGTGATAAACACCACAGAAAATTAACAAGATTTTAATAGAAAATAGAATTAAAATATTTTAGTAGAAAATCACCCAAGGGCCACATTAAAGGTTTTGGAGGGCCGGATCTGGCCCCCGGGCCTTATGTTTGACACCTGTGTCTTACATCATTATAATCACTTACAAATAAAGCTTACGCACAGTTACAAAATGCCGTATCAAATCCCTATCTGCCTTTTTAACGGCCAGCTTTTTTATTTATAATCCTTCAGTTAGAAGCTAGTTCAGGTTTAGCCAACGTGGAATTAGCTGGCAGGATCACAGACAGAACGCAGCAGTGACTACGGGAGACGAAATGTCCTGAGGGGGGCTGGATACTTGGATTTGATACCCTTTTGATCCCCGCTAGTTTCATTTCTACATCAAAAAGCACGAGCATATGCCTAACAGACTGCACTTAGCGACTAGTGACTTAAAAGTGTGTGTTTTTATCTTAGCGAGCGTCAATCCTCTGTGGTACGTCTCTCCCTGCTCCTACATCCAAAACACCAGAGCCAAATCAAAGTGGCTGTAGTCGTCATCTCTGATCTGAGCTCGCAAATAGAAAAGATTGCTAAATTCATCTGCCAGTTTTGATACACCACCACCTGTTTAGTTACACGCAGGCAAAGCCATAACATTGCTGCAGACAAACCAGTAAAGTGACCATTCCCCAGAAAAGTTACACTGTGCAGTTTTCATTTAAAACTTTATTGTGTTTAAATACTGACCCTACTTCCAGATGATCTGAGCTTTCAAAACAGAAAAAATGGAACAGATCATACTGCATCTCTGTTGATTTAAACAGGTCTACCTCATGTCTGGGAACACCGATAGGTCATGCTCATAAAATTTTAAATCAAAATCTGTTCCCTAGTGTTGTAGACAAGACCGCACTAATCGAGACCAAGACCAGTCTGAGACCACAGGGTCCCGAGACGAGGACAAGACCAAGATCTCTGAGAGTTGAGACCAAGACAAGACCATCTTTGTCATTTCCTACATTTATTTGTATTTTACTGTTATTTTAGTACACATATATCAATGTTTTTATAAATCTATGTCCATTTGATCTGATTAATGTTAATTTAGGTGTAGCAGCCAATGAGCCTATGCTGCTGGCCCCCTGGCTACTGATTTAAAGTTGGTCTGACACGCTTGTAATATAAATCCACCAATACATTCTTAGTCCTTTATTGGCTTACCAGTATCAGCCAGATATTTCACAATACAAACAATGTAGTTAAAATGCTTTGCCCCCTATCAGCGGCACTTGTGGCTGCCTTCTTGGCCCTTAAATATGTTAAGGAGGGCATCATACTGCCATACAGTGGATGGAGGATAAAGCAACAGGCAAACAGGCTTAAAATAAACCAAGCAAACCATACTACACTTACTCACACACTTTGGGGGCCTGTTCTTTAATCCAAGTTCATTAAATTTATAGTTATCTTACAGGTTTTGCAGTGATATTTAGCAGCCTCTGCACATTTACAGGCCTTAGTGAAATATGATCACACTTGCTGAGTGTCAGACATCGAGTCCGAGACAAGACCGAGATAAGACAGAGTCCGATCGCTATCAAGACCGAGGCAAGACTGAGTCCAAGTGCCATCAAAATCATGACAAGACTGAGACCAAGCGCTATCAAGACCAAGACAAGACCGAGTCCAAATGCTCTAGAGTCCGAGACGAGACCAAGACTGTAAAAAAGCGGTCTTGAGGCCAGCCTTGAGGACTACAGAAATACTGTTCCCTTTAAGAATGATATATCAGTATTAAAAATTCAAGTAACATGTGGAGGAGCTGCTGGTGCATTGTGGAGTGAAGAAATGAATTGCTGGTGGTGTAAATAAACTGTAAACAGACTCAGCACCCAGACACTGTGATAGTGTTGACCTTTCCAGTCTAGTGCACTCTAGTCTTCCATTGCTTCTGTTGTAGGGAGTATTATACCTCTGATGACATATGCCAAGTTAACAAGGAATGAGCTGGCAGTGAGTATGGATTTTCAAAATACTGAGGAACTTCTTGGATTGCTACAAAATCAAGTATACCAGTGAAATTACTCAAACATGCATGTATAATTTTGACAAGAAAACCAATTCACTCAAAAAAGTCTATAAATATTGCACCTTTTGCCGTGCATTTCTGGCACCAACTCAAATCTTCCTTTTACACCAAATACCATTTTTTCATAGTCCCAGAGTCTCTTCCTCTGTGTTTAAATTCCACTCTGTCTCCAGCTATTACTTCTCAAACAAGTCACAACAATCATCCAGGGAACTCAATTTGGACGCCATTTTATTCCATTTCCAGTCAATTTCTGTGCTCTGAATGCCCCAGAAAAGAATGCATTTTGTAGTGTTATGACCACAGCTGTAGAAGTAGGTTGATGGGTGTTTGTGTGCAGGGCATCTTTGTACTGGACCTTCCCTTTGCCCTGGTGCATTCTGGGTACATGGGGCTGCTGTTGCTGGTGCTGTCGGCCTGGGTTTGTAACTACACCGGGAGGATCCTGGTCTCGTGTCTGTATGAAGAGGGACACTGGTGAGAATTTCATGTGTACATTTCAAATTGCTACTATTATTTTATCGTTTGTTGTAATTTAACTGATGCACCACACAATTTCTTTGACAAAAATAGACAAAATGAGAAAAAAAGCATCCTGGGAGCAGACTTGCATATCCAAAAACCTGACTCCTCATGTTTGTCCCCTAGAAAATGTTGTTCCTTTGACTATAAAATTCTAGCCTGATTCATCCTAATGCTGCGAGGTCCACGACCGTCTGACCTCGCAGCATTAGGATTTGTTCACTTGATGATAGGTGGGTACTTAAAATTTAACCAATCGCTGCAAATTGGTCATTGCGCCGCTAACGAGGCTAATTGGTATATGAAGCTTTTCCCAAATCCTGTAGAAAGAAGAGCAATAACGTCTTTCCCCTTGATAAAATTCATCAAACATTCTCTTTGTTCCAAGTTTAAATCCTTGATCTCGGGAATGGTTGCCAAATCAGAATGTATGGCTCTTCGCTGATTGGCTGGTGCCCAAACTCGCACTTCCGTGGTTCTTGCAAACTGTCTAGTGTATTTTGATTCCTGACCTTGTCGCTGGAGAGAAATGAAATTGAGTAGAGGCACTAGGTGGCGCCAGCCTGGCTAATAAAATTCCGTAGTATGGCATAAAATGTATCTATCTCCATGAAGAATGTTCCAGAGTCTGGTTTTAACTTTCTATTTCTGTGGAATCATGCAAGGGATGTGCCATTTCCAGAAAGTTACACAGTGTTGCTTTAAATGTGGAACTAGATTAGGGGTATTTTAGAACAGGTTTAGTCCTTGTTCAGATTTGGTTTAGTCTTGTTTGTAGTGCAGTTCTGGTTTGTTGACATTTAGTTCTGGTGTAAGAGCGAGTTGTAAATCTGAAACGGTCGGTCCTGATGTTATTTAGATCCGTGTTTCTGAAATAACTTACATTTTACATTAGCATTTAATAATGTTTGTAAGCCAAACATGTTATGTTTTTGTGTCTGTGTTGTCTACCAAAACCAAAAATTCAGATTTTTGTTGTTGTATTTTCCAGTGGAGGTCCAAGGGTGCGAGTGCGTCACAGTTATCAGGACATAGCAGAGACGTGCTGCAGAGGTCTGTGTCCTCACTGTCCTGCACTGGGAGGAGCTCTGGTCAATGTGGCTCAGGTTACACTTATATAAGCATCTCAGTATTTCACTTCTAGTTCCTGTTTCTTACTTTGATCATATCTGTTTCCGTAGCTGATCGAGCTGCTCATGACCTGCACGCTGTACCTGGTGGTCTCCACCTCTCTGCTCAGTGACAGTCTCTCTGGGTTGGCTGTACCCAGACTGGGCTGCTCTCTGCTGGGGCTGTTGTTCCTGATGCCCTGCCTCCTGCTCACGGACCTGCGCCCCGTGTCCACCCTCAGCCTGCTCTGCACCCTGGCCCATATCCTCATCAGGTTACTGTTACATCATCTACAACATTAATTCTAAAACGACAAGGGGAGATTACATTTAGTCACGTGCAAGGAGTGTCATAAAGGGCAACAAAACACCACGGTCTGAGTTAACATCTTACAAAGGTTTGCCGCAGGGTTTTAAAAGTCTTAAAAAGATCTTAAATTTCATGCTCCTAAATTAAGGCCTTAAAAAGTCTTAAATTTAGTTGCCCAAGTCTTATTTTTTTCACAATGGTCTTAAATTTCATTAGCCTATTTTTTTGTATACTCTACCGGGCTGCAGTGTGGTGTTAAATGGAAGGAGGAAGAAAAAAAAACCAACATGAAATCACCAACATGAATGAACGTCTAATTTGGAGTATTCGCAAACAATACTTTGGTTTCTGGCGCCGGTGGCAATGAGTAAACAAGCAGTACAGTGGAGGAAGACGCTGGATGAATCATGGGGAAGTGTAGGTTTAATCCACAGTGGCTCTTAGATTCTAGATATAGTAGTTGGTTGGTCATTATCAGAATTGGACCTGGTGTTTTTCGCCTGCATAATGGGTGTGATGTCGGTCTTAATTTCATTTAAGTGGTTTTCTTTCTGTTCTTGAGGAGGCTGATGGTTCTTCTGCTTCAGTGGAGATGAAGCAGAGGACAGTCGTAGATGGATTGTTATGACAGTGGGACTAAGCGAGCATTTCTATGAACTACCTGCAGGTGATTGGTTGTGAGGCAAATGTAGCAGACTGACAATAATAGCTTTTTACCTGATTTATAAACCATGAAAAGAGAACGTCAGATTTAAATCGGTTTAACTAGTTTGTACCTGTCACAAATCCTGCGTTACTTCATTAGTATAGATTTATTGACCATTAACACAGCTTTAGAACAGCTTTATCAGACGGAGAAGTGAAGGTTAGAGCACCTTTATGTCAGCTACAGCTTTTCTTTTCTCTTCAGTTTCCCCGTAATAAGTGATGGGTCGTATTTGAATCCAGGAACGTGGCTGAAGGCTGGACCAACATGATAATTGTGATCATATTTCTTCGTGTAATCTATGAAAACAGGCCGAAGGAGCCGAGGTCTGTGCGCCTGTGTGCTTGTTCAGGATGTATACCCGCCCCCGAAGGTCAAGACATTTCACCCACATTCCGAAGCATAAAAATGTTGTGTGTGTGAGTGTTTATTTCTCCCCGTAGCCTGCTGGTGATGCTGTACTGCCTGAGCCGAGCCCGCTCCTGGCACTGGTCCTCTCTGTCTCTGTCTGTGGACCCAGAGGATTTCCTGGTGTCTGTGGGCGTCATCATCTTCTCCTACACGTCGCAGATCTTCCTCCCGTCACTAGAGGGCAGTATGGAGGACAGGGGTCAGTTTAACACCATGCTGGGCTGGACTCACGGAGCTGCATGCGTGATGAAGACTCTGTTCGCTCTTCTGGTAAGGTTATGTTAAAGGAATTCTTATTTTGATACCGAACTAAATTAGACCTATAATGAGATGTTTCTTTTTCTTATTTTTTAGATGGTCTGACTGAAAAATGTAATTGTTAACGTAGATTTGTTGCCACATCTGCTTTAGGACAGACTGATAGAAATGTGCCATTTTGTGAAAAGCGTGCCAAGGGAAGCACTTTCTGTCAACTGGATTTTTAAAAAGTTCAGATTGTCTTCTATACTTGATATTTGCAAACGTTTATAGCATCACGTTAGATAGAAATAGAAATAAGCAGTGTTTGTTTTTTGTTTTTTTTTAGTTCTCTTGTAGTTTTCTTGTAAGCCGCTATGTTTGTTTTAACACAAACAGACCGTGCTTATCTCTGATTGGTTAATCCACCTGTCAATCATTATTAGCCTGATTCAACAGCCCGTTTCCAATCCAGTCTAATCCACTTTATTCATATAGCACATTTCACAAACAAACAGTTTTCAAAGTGCTGCAAAATACTTAACAATAATAAAATGAGTATATTAAAGCTCAGATTTAATCATACTAGTCTTGAAATAATAAAACCAGTCAAATAAAATAAGAGCAACATCATAGAATAGCAATAAATAAAGAAAACCAATAAAATACATTAAAAATAAATAAAAGACATAGAGGACCCCACAACTCACACGGTGTTAAAAGCCAGAGAATAAAAGTGGGTCTCAAGACGAGACTTAAAACTCTCCACTGTGGGGGCTGTTCGGACGTGGAGGGGCAGATCGTTCTAGAGCTTAGGGCCGACCACAGAGAAGGCCCTGTCCCCCCTGGTTTTAAGTCTGGTCTTAGGCACCAAGAGCTGGAACTGGCCCTCGGACCTCAGAGCGTGCCGTGGGTATAAATTTGGATGAGGTCTAAAACGTATTGTGTTATCTGACGGTTTCACTTCGTAGAAACCGTCTGACCTCGCAGTGTTAGAATTCATTCGCTCGACAGTAGGCAGGAGGTACTTTTTATCATTTAACCAATCGTTGCTATTTGGTCGGGACATATGTAATGCGCCACTAACAGAGCTAACTGGTATATTAAGGTTTTCCCAAATCCCATAGGAAGAAGGGCAATAATGTTTTTCCCCTTGATAAAATTCACCAAACATTCTCTTTGTTCTGGCTTTAAATCCTCGACCTCGGGAATCGTTGACAACACTGAACACAGGGCTCTTCCCTGATTGGCTGGTGCCCGAAATTGCACTTCCAGGGTTTTTGCGAACCATCTTTTATATTTTGATTCCTGACCTAGCTGCTGGAGAGAAATGAAATTGAGTGGAAGCACTGGGTGGAGATTGTATTTGGTTCCAGATTATTTTAAAGTCTTGCAAAAGCACCTGGTCTTCTCTTAGTATATAAGTTGTTTTCAGCCTCTTGACCTGCTTGTTTTCTTTTATCGACTTCACCGTTGAGGTCACGAGTGTGGGCGGGACTTTGACTCCGGGTTCACTGTTCCGTCTGTAATGAGCAGGCCGGATGAGGATGATTGATTGATTCTTGTGACGGCTCGGATTGGCTGTTGTTGCTTCTCTCCTCAGTGCGTTTTGACCTGGGGCTGTGATACCAGTGAGGTTATCACAGACAACCTGACCCCCGTGCTCCGCCCATTGGTCAACTCGTGTCTGCTGGCCAAGGCTCTGCTCTCCTTCCCCCTGCCCTTCTACTCTGCGGCCGAGATACTTCAAACATGGATACTCAAAGGTACACCTGTGTCCAAAATCACTATTAGAATTACTTTAACTTTTCTCAGTACTACCAAAGAAGAGTTTTGGTTTTAAGCGTCCCAACAGATCTAAAAGTAAGTATATAACAGGACTATTCCAGGTGTAAGGTCTAAAAGTGGACAAAATGAACTCTAAATTAAAGATGCACTGTGTAACGTTTCTGTTGTAGGGTCTCCACTGATCTCCCTGAAGATATTACTGTTTTATTCCACAGTATGGAAATAAACTTAGTAATCATGATTGAAACAGGTTAATGGTCAGATCTATGGAGAAGCAAGTCTGCATTATGTAAGAATTAATATATAAGAATTCATGCTTTTTAAGTTATTTTTGAGCTATAAAACACATGTAATTGAACAAATGGAAGGGAGACCTGTTTAATGCCCTACTGTGGGACATTCCATGCAAAGAAATCACTCCATAGAAACAAGCAAGCAGCGGACCCTCCACCACAGAAGTTAGTGCAGCTTTAAGCAAATCCACAAACTGTAAAACTCTCCAAGCACAAACAACAATTTGAGAATTTGAGAAACACTACTTTAACACATACAAAAACAAAAATAAAAGTGTTAAATAACTTTCTCTGTAGCACCGAGGCTGAATCATAAGCATTTTTGTGAGACATAATGAAAAAAGTTTCCAAAAAAGGTTTGTTAATTATTTTAAATGTATTGCCAAAACAAGAAATGTTTTCATAAACCACACTGCAGTTTTATATCTTAAATGGGAGTGGAACATTTAAGAATTAAATTGAGTTTAATGATGCAACTAGTCAAGAAATATTCCACCATTTAACTCAGTACAGTGGTAGATTAAATGTAAGTAGTTCGACAGTTGTAAGATGAGGCACAAGACTGCAGTTCTAGCAGTTCTAACAGGAGATGTTTAAATGTTTGTATATTCTGCCTGGCTATGTTTCTATTGTAGGGAGTATTATACCTCTGATGATGAAGGCCAAGATAACTAGGGCTGAGCTGGCAGGGTAGAGCTGGTATAGCACAGCAGAGTGATTACTTGATCCTCAACCATGTCTTTTTCTATATCAGGACCGTTACTAACAGCGTTAATTTTTTCAATAATGAGTAATCTAACTAATTACTTTTTCTGCTGCTGGACTTATTTCTTCGCTAAAGCGTGAGTTTTACTGTGCGACATGTAAATAAAAAGTGCAGTGTGATGGCATCATCAGCGTGGCCTGGTTCGGTTGTGCAAGTGTGAGTGCAGAACATAGAACCCACAGCAATCGTGCTTGTGCACTGCACAGTTCAAAAGACCTAGTGTGAGTGCATCCTTAAAACTAAACAAAACAAAAGTAATGCAATAGTTACTTTCCACAGTAACTAGTTACTTTTATAGTGGAGTAACTCAGTTACAAACTTACTTTTTGGGAGAAGTAATTTGTAACTATAACTAATTACTTTTTCAAAGTAATGTAGACTGACCAGGGTTCGGTTTAGGGATCAGGACAATGATTCATTAAGTCATTTTCCGATCTATGTAATAATGTTGTTTCCTCATCATGGCTCATACCTACAGTTTTGTTTTATTTGTTTAACACACAAACCCTGCATATTTAGGCTCAGTTCTTCGCTCAGACTGAAAACACTTGTTCCACCTTGTGATGTCATGTGGTAATACAAGATGTGCTCCACTGTGTTTTTAAACTCCGTACACCTTCACTAGAATCATTTGGATCATTTCATCAATAATGCAGGGTTACTTAAACATGTGTGAGTGAAACAAAACAAAACGTTGATGTTTTTGAGGAGGTAACAACATTATAACACATCTTAAACCTCACAAGAATCAATTGTATAACATAGGTAATATAGAACATTTAAGTATTACAGTGTGTCAGACAATATTACAGTCACATGTTAAGAGGATGGTCCCAATGGCCAAAGAATGAATCAGTGTTCTGCTACCATACACCTATTTCTCCAGTTATATTGGTTCGAGGTTTTGTCCAAATTGCATCCAAAATATAATAAAACAACAGTCACGTTTGATCATTGTTACAAAACACTACTAATACTGCAATTACCAAAACATTTATGTATATTCTCAAGGCAAAATAGCCCTAACCCACTCATCCACACAAATAAGATGACTAATATTCAGATCGTTGTGCTTGGGGGACTCTCGTTCATTTACACACTGTTGCTTTCACTCTCTCTCTCCCTTTTTCTATCGTTCTCTCAGGAGTAAAGCAGAAATCTTGGCCTGTAGCATGAATCTGTTTAGAGGAGTCCCATGGTAATCTCCAGTCACAAACACGAGCAGTGAACTTTTGACATTTGCTCTTTTGACAGTGCCCTGAAGTGAGCGGAGTGGTTATTTATGTAAAACTGAGGATTACTAACCGGGTCACCACCTATTATAAACTAGAAGCTATTATCTCTCATTTAGCGCTCTATGAGTCAATATTGATGAGTTGAAGATGATATTACAACATTTGATGGGATGTGGTTTGTCTATAACAGTGTTTCTGGGGACCCATGCTTTAAAAGTGACAAACCTTTGAGACAATAGTCAATAGATATTATTCATAAATCACAAAGTAAAGGTGGATTTGACCATTACTGAACATTAATAAGGATATTTTATTGTTGACTGAGTGATCGTGTCTCTCTGAAGAATTAGTATTACTCAAGTTTTAAACAATGAAATACAGTCATTGAACCAGCAATAAATTTGGACATTAAACGTACCTTATTTCTTTTTCTTTTCAATATTCAACTGAACCAGCAATATTGGAACAAAATAGTCAATAAAATAATTACAAAAAAAATTAGAAATTATACAAAATATGTCTTAACATTTCTAATGAGATAGTTGGGCCTGTCTGTGTTTTTGTAGCGCGTTCCAGTCCAGGAGAAAAGCGCAACACATATATCAGTGTCAGAACAGCATATTGCAGACCTACATGCAGATCGTGATGAGCCTGATTGATCAGCCAGTTTCACTTCGTAGAAACCGTCTGATCTCGCAGTTTTAGAATTCGTTCGCTCGACTGTAGGTGGGTACTTTCTATCATTTAACCAATCGCTGCCATTTGGTCATGACGTATGTAATGCGCCGCTAATGGGGCTAACTGGTATATTGAGCTTTTCCCAAATCTTGTAGGAAGAAGGGCAATAACTTCTTTCCCCTTGATAAAATTCACCAAACATTCTTATTGCCAACACAGAATGTATGGATCTTTGCTGATTGGCTGGTGCCTGAACTTGCACTTCCAGGGTTTTTGAGAACCGTCTCTTCTATTTTGATTCCTGACCTAGTCGCTGGAGAGAAATGAAACTGAGTGGAGGCACCAGGTGGCGCCAGCCTGGTTAGATCGTGACCTGAGGGTCTCGAACCAGTCTTTGGAAAACAATGGTCGATAGTTAATAACATGCTGCAGTACCTTTAGAAAAACATAACAAAAGGATGTAATACTAAAATCTATAGGGCATATGACATTATTTGCTTTCATGAAACCATTTGAACCTGCTAACTCAGGTTTTAGGTTGTTTGTGTGAAAAGAAAAGAAAAAACAAAACTATGACGCAAGTTACTTTATTATTTTATTTCTTGGTAAAAAAAAATCAGACCACTTCACATTGTCTGTATCTAAATATAAAATATTCTATTACTTGAAGAGCCAAGGGTTTCTGAGAGAATACAAACACACTTCCTCTACTCATGTAATGAAAATCAGTAGCCATCTGTTTTTGGGTGTTTTGTTTTAGTTTCTTCAAGAAAATTTCACCTTCCTTACCTGCATGAACAATATGTTGTGTTTTGTATCATTCACACATGTTTGAGTAATTTTCAAAGCACAAAATGCTCTGTTCTACCTTGTGATGTCATGTAGTGGTAGTTTTCAAATCAATATCTAAATTTTACCTTTTGTTTAGTAGCTAGATTGACAATGCCAGGTCTGAAATGATCCAAATGATTCTAATGAAGGTGTGTGGAGTTTAAAAACACAGTGGAGCACTGCCATCACAAGGTTTAACAGAGTGTTTTCTGTTTGAGAGAAGAGAGTAATTGGGGTCCTTTAAAGTATCTTGTCTCCATAATTAACATGTATCATATTACATCAGTCATACGAGGCAACAGAAAACCACCACTGTATCCACTGTCCACACATGAGTCAGAGTCTTAGATCTTATATTGACTGTAAACACATACAACCAGTGTTGGGAAGGTGACTTTAAAAATGTATTCCCCTACAGATTACAGATTACATACCTCAAAATGTAGTTTGTAACGTAATCCATTAAGTTACTTAAAGTGAGTAACGTAATCTGAATACTTTGGATTACTTGATATTGTCCTGGTTTTAGTCCTGGTTTTAGTCCTGGATTTAGTCCTGGTTTTAGTCCTGGTTTAGTTCTGGTTTTAGTCCTGGTTTAGTTCTGGTTTTAGTCCTGATTTAGTCCTGATTTTAGTCCTGTTTTAGTCCTGGTTTAGTCCTGTTTTTTGTCTTGGTTTAGTCCTGGTTTAGTTCTGGTTTTATTTCTGGTTTTAGTCCTGGTTTTAGTCCTGATTTTAATCCTGCTTTAGTCCTGGTTTTAGTACTGGTTTAGTCCTGGTTTAGTCCTGGGTTTAGTCCTGGTTTTAGACCTGGTTTTAGTCTTGATTTTAGTCCTGGTTTTAGTCCTGATTTTAGTCCTGGTTTAGTCCTGGTTTAGTCCTGGTTTTAGACCTGGTTTTAGTCTTGATTTTAATCCTGCTTTAGTCCTGGTTTTAGTACTGGTTTAGTCCTGGTTTAGTCCTGGGTTTAGTCCTGGTTTTAGACCTGGTTTTAGTCTTGATTTTAGTCCTGGTTTTAGTCCTGATTTTAGTCCTGGTTTAGTCCTGGGTTTAGTCCTGGTTTTAGACCTGGTTTTAGTCTTGATTTTAATCCTGGTTTAGTCCTGGGTTTAGTCCTGGTTTAGTCCTGGGTTTAGTCCTGGTTTAGCCCAAAATATGAAAACAGGAAAATACCGTTGTATAATCCATTTATTTCAACAAAGTAACTGTAATCCGATTACCACTCACTGAAACTGTAACTGTAACTGAATACAGTACTTGTACTGAATACTTGTACTCTGATTACGTAACTCCAGTACATGTAATCTGTTACTCCCCAACACTGCATACATCATACGTCATTCTGTGTCTAGTGCTTTAGGCTAGATGGTTTCACAGGTTAAAGGTAAAAAATGTATGTATTTATTTATTTATTTTCAAATAATACAATATGGGGGAAAATTTTTGCCCCGGATAAGCGGAAAATAATGGATGGAAGGATATTTCGCTATTTTCTGATGTTATAATGTTGTTTCCTCATCCGAAACAAAACAAATTCTTCTCCCCATTGGAAAACACTGTTCCACCTCGTGATGTCATGTGGCTCCACTGTCTTATTAAACTCTGTACAGCTTCATTAGAGTAATATGGATCATTTCGGCTCTGGATTTACCAATCTCTACTGAGCACAAGGTAAAAGGTAGCTGTTAACTCTTCACCACAAAATGACATCACAAGGTGGAGCAGAGCATTTTGAGCTTTGGAGATGTAGACAGAATAAAGGATTAGTCAAACATGTGAAGCAAAACACAACTCCATTTATGATTTCTGAGGAGGTAACAGCATTTTTGAAATTTCTTAAAGCTCACAAGAGTCAGGTTTTGTGCAACATAAGACTTTTAAGGACATTTTTACCTTGTCCAATGACACTCTACAAAACAGGAGAAAAATGATCAATATGTACAAATATATTTCAAACCAAAACACATAACTCTTTATTTGGAATTAAAACACCGTCACTGTGTGTCAGCTGAAAACCGTAAAATGTTTCTGGCATGTTTTTAACCTTCACCAGCTGACCCTGTATTTCAGAGACTCTTAGTTCTTCCTCTATCTGCCACGTCCCCTCAGTAGTATTTCTTAACCCTGTCTGCTCGTGTGTCGTTAAAATGGCGTGGAGCTGCAAAAATTAAATATAAATTGCTTCATAGTGGAGTAATTAATCACAGTAATGGCGTTTTTATTTATGCTCTTCTGTACAGGCAGCAGTGGACTGGGCTGCTGATCTGACGGCTCAATGACAAAAGAGAGCAACTGTTACATACGTACAAGGAATTAAAACCTTGACTTATATCTTGGAACAATGTTGTTTTTTTGTTTTGTTTTTTTAACTAAAATCTTTTGATTTCTTTCACAACAAGACACAAACGAGACACAAGTTGTTTTTGCTGTTGTTGATCTATGTTTGTATGTTAAACTGAAACTGCATTTCTGTGCTGTACCTGCCCCACACTGCCAGCTCTGTCTTCATAATCGTGATTTAAGTTGTCGGAGGTGTAATACTCCCTACAATGGAAGCACTGACTATACAGTTACTAGGGACGGGCATTCGATGAAATTTTCTTAATCGATCGTTGGAAGAATTAACGATTGATTATCGATTAATCATTAACGTGTTTATATTAAAATGATCATCATTATTATTACTGTCTGCACTACTAACCTGCATATATAAATTCAACTTTACGACATATAAACCGTAACGACTCTAGAGCCACATCAGCCCGTTTGAGATTATAATGAGTTTAACGCAATTTTGCGCAACTCTCACAGAAACGAAACTTAAAACCGCATCGCTAATTTGCAGAAACTAAGCGAAGATAAAACTACAGCTCTTGTGTCGCTGATGTGGTTCAACTTCTGTTGGATTAAAAGACATGATTCAGTGGAATACAGGTTAGTGTGACCAGATTTGCGTTTGTCAAAACCAGGACACCGTACGGGGGGAGGGAGGTGGGGCCTCGTCATCGACATTGCGCGACTCTCACCTGGCAAAACGTTTTCCCACTGGACACCGAGACATATGTGCTGCTTTGTACACTGTGCACATGGACTCACACTTGTCCCAACCGGAACAGAAAGCATTGAATTCTTGTACAAGTCATCGATTAATCATGCCCATCCCTAACAGTTACTATTACAATGACTTGAGAGTTCATGTCACCTGGTGCTGGGTAATTGTAATTGAACTTAAAGGGACAGTACAGGAATTTTGGACATAGGACCTCATTTCCTAGTGAGCCAAAGTGTTGGAGACGTGTGGAGACACTTTTTAAAATATTCCATCCAGTCCTTGTATTTGCAGAGGTCACTGGTGCCCACTCCACAAAACACCCAAAGCAAAACAATTATTACGCCAGACTATCGATGTGAATGTCTGTGTTGATAGAATAATGTTTGAAATAAAACTAACCTTGCATCGCATGAATCATCACATGTTGAGGGACTATTTTCTCATATATCACTCCGCAGCTGTCGAACTTTCTATCATGAAGTACAACTCACTGCTGCTGCTCAGACATAAATCCTTCAAATGCAAGGTTGGTTTAACTTCTAAAATTATTCTATCAACACAGACATTTACATCGACAGTCTGGTGTTATAATTGTTTTAATAATAAAAATGATAGTAATACATCTGACTTATACTGTATAGCGCTTTTTTGGACACTCAAAGATGCTTTAGAAACAAATAAAAAGTGACACTGTAGAAAAGGGGGGAATCATGGGGGGACAGGTGAGTTTTTAGTAGTGATCTGAAGTACTGCAGTGAGTCCGAGTTTTGTTTCAGGTGTTTTGTGGAGTGGGTAAGATGTTTTTAGTGGCAGGATAACTATGGCCATTGACATGCACTAGTCTAGCACCAGTGACCTCTGCAAATACAAGGACTGGATGGAATATTTTAAAAAGTGTCTCCACACGTCTCCATCACTCTGGCTCACTAGGAAATGAGGTCCTATGTCCAAAATTCTGGACTGTCCCTTTAACAACTGGTTTGTGGTTCAGCTCATGCTATATTGATCTTAAGTTGCACTGTGTAACTTTTTGGTTGGGAGTCTGTCACCTGCGTTTCTATGGATGTGTCACTGCCAGAGGTAGGATCAAGTCGTTGTTTTACAAGTCTCAAGTAAGTCTCAGGTCTTTGACCTCAGGTCCAAGTCAAGTCCCAAGTCAAATACAGGCAAGTCCAAGTAGAGTCTCGAGTCACTGGCCCATAAGTCTAAGTCAAGTCCAAGTCGTCTGCTTTGAGCTTCAAGTCATTTCAAGTTTTTAAAGCAAAGCCCCAAATATAGCTTAGATTTTTGCAATTTATATGATTTTTAAACTAAACTGTACTTCATATTCATATAATCATATTTTTATGTATAATTATTCATATAAGAGTAGCAGAAATGCAATTTTTTGACAAGATTTTTGTGTGAATCATTACAGAGAAATTCAGATTTAAAAGTGCATAATAACAGATATTTTGTCATGATGGATCATGTTCTTTGTAGTTCCCTCTGTTTTACTGTATTGTACTTTCTTGTACTGTATATTACTGTAGTACATTTGAGGATACCACATCACAGTACTTCAGTTCCATCCAAAGTAACAAACAGAAGTGGGAGGGACATGTTTCAGTTTGTTACTGTAACATTAAACATTGCATTTATCAACTGAAAAGAGAAAAGTGTTTTCAAAAAACATATTTTTTTAAGGAAAGCGTCAAGTCTTCTTCAATCACAGGGCTCAAGTCCGAGTCACTGACCTTCAAGTCCAAGTTGAGTCCCAAGTCTCAGTCTTTTTATCAAGTCAAGGCTCAAGTCCTAAAAATAATGACTCAAGTCTGACTCAAGTCACACACCTCTGGTCACTGCTTTGCCTGGAAAGTTCCACTGTATTTTACCTTAAATTTATTTAATTACAGGTGGTTTTATAGCTCAAAAATACCTCGAAAAACAAGTATTCGGACTGAGCGGTGTTGCCTCTTCGCAGATCCGACCTGTCACTTGGTCTGGTTTGGTCTCCGTGAAGATAGAAAGGTTTCATGCCATATTGTGAAACATTCCAGACAAAGCAATAACATCTCCATGGACACAATGCACCTTAAATGAATAGATTAAAAAATGTTTGCAACTTTTAGTATTTAAAAAAATGACCTAACATTCGCTCTGAACGATTTCTATTTCTTTTCTCTCTCTTCTCAGACACCACTCCCCACCTCAAACCAGGCAGCCTCCTCCCCCCTCTCCCCGTCCTCCTCCTCCGCTGCTCCCTCCTCCTCTCCTCCCTGCTCCTGGCTCTGCTCCTGCCCAGATTCTCCCTCCTCATGGGGCTTACGGGCAGCGTGACCGGAGCCGCCATGACCCTGGTCCTCCCCTGCGTCTTCCACCTCCGGCTGCAGTGGCACGGGCTGACCACACGGGGCAGACTGACCGACGGGTGCGTGCTGGGCCTCGGGGTGCTGTGTAGCGCCTCTGGGGTGTTCTGCGCGGTGAAGAGGCTGCTGCAGGCCGGGATGTAAGAAATGAGTATTGTAACTGCTGAGTCCGCATTTTTACGTTGTCATTTGCAGCTCTTATGTGTTTTATAATCTTTTATCAGGGGCCAATTACCTCCAGAGAAAAGTATTGATTTTAGTGGATTGATGCTGCTGTCCGTGGGTACATTAGCGCAATAGTGATTTATACTTTTCATTGTTTCGATATTGTATTTTCTATAACATACTGTATGTATTTATTATTTTATTTCAGCTATAGGCCTGTCATGATAACTACAATATTGATTTATCATAAAAGCTGAAACAGTATACGGTATTTTGGGGCTCAATATTTACTGTGTGCACTTTGTTTTGCACTACTGGGAAATTTTTGGTTATTTGTTGGTGATATGATAAGATTTAAGATGTAAAAGGTTGAAAAAATAACTTCTATAAGTCATTACGGTTACAGACTACAAGTACTAAAGTCATTCTGCTGTTCTATGCCTTGTTTTTTTTTTTTATTTAATAGATTTAGTATAGTTTTTGTGGTTTAAATCTGCTCTTGGGTGTAAATATTATCATTTACAGTCTTTATTTTCTTTATCATTATATTGCAATTCAGAATTTATTGTGATAGGTCTAATTTTAGTTACACAAAATCTGGAATTTCTGTACTTTTTTTTTTGTAAATGCTTGAATGAAATGTTCCGCAGTGTAGCATTAAACACATCTATCTCCAGGTGACACCATAAGGGCCAAGTTACAAGTCGGATCAGGTTCAAGGTGTTTTAGAGCAATAAAACACCTGTAATTGAATATATGTCAGACAGATAAATGTAATGTTATACTGAGGAACAAGCAAGTCATGATTAGAAACTCAATTGCCAAATTCCACCATCACTGTAGTAGTGGTACTAATTGCAATACTCTATAGTAGGACTGGGTATCATTAAGAAGTTGCCGATACGATACATAACTCGATACAGTGCACTTTCGATTCGATGTGTATTCGATTCAATTTAAGTTTCAATAAAAAATAATGGCTAAATCATGACTGTGATACTAAAAGTCTTTGTTAAACCACTTCTTGTGCAAAGTTCATATGAAACAGAAATATTTGAATCATCAAAACAGTGAAAATGTCAAATGTGTCACATAAAAGAGTTTCCTTCCACTAAAAAAGCAACAAAACTGTAACTGTAACAAAATAATTTAGTAAAATATACCAAAAAATACTCTTGGTGATATATATCGATACAGCAGCCCATGATATCGATACTGTATCAGCGCATAAACAATATGATATATCGATATTTCAATTTTATTTTTTGCACACCCTACTCTATGGTGTAAATATTAGGGGTGTAACGATATCCAAGTCTCACGATACGATATCGTCACAGTATGAACCTCACGGTATGATATTTATTGCGATATTGTGGGAAAGCTCATGATATGGTGAGGAGGCTCACGATTAGGGATGTAACAATATCAAAATCTCTCTGTACGATATTTTCACGATATACATCTAACAGTACGATATTTATTGCGATATTTTGTGGAGGCAAACAAAACTGTTAATATGCAACTTTTTGCTCTTAAAATGCCTTGACAAGACTTAAAAGTGCATAGAACTGTTATTTCTTCATGTAATCGACACTGAAATGGAGCAAAGGATCATGGTCTATGTAGTTCCCTCTGTCTTTTTTTTAGCTATTGCTGCACCGTAACTCTTCATTTAAGCAAAGAGACTTGTAATTTGATATATTGTGATGGTCCTGATATTATTGTGAGAACTCTGACGATACGATATCACGATATTTCGGTTATTGTTACATCCCTAGTAAATAACCAATCAGTGTCTTCTCATATGTCTGCAAATCACCATTAACTGACAGTCCAGGTCTCCAGTCTCTCCTATAATCTGTTTGAATCCCGAAAGGACTGGAACCACACAATCGTAGGTGAAAATCCTCCGTCCTAACTTGAGATTGTCCAACCACAGCTGACATGTCTCTCAAATGCAGAAGACATTTCATTCAAAACAAAATACATCACTTCTTTTACGTGAGATAAGTAATAGTTTGGTGTTTTCATTGTTAATTCTGTAAAAATCTACGCAGTCCTTAAGGTTGTTTTTTTCCGTCTTCCTTCTTTCAAAACTCCACACTGGTTTCTGAGAGTTTTGAAAAAAGCTTATGCGTAACGTAAGCGAAACTGTGGAGCCCGCTAGTCGTTTAAAATGACACGAGCGCCTTTTACTATTAGAACATGTCCTGCTTGTCTCCATGGGAAAAATACTGCTTTTCCTAGAATGTTGCACAGTATGGCATTAAACGTTTAGTATTAATTGAACAAAAAGTTACAATTTACAATAATAAACAAACCTGAGAAACATTCTTATACTGTGAGTGGGGATGCCTCTCCACAGATATGACCAGTAATTTGTCTCGATACGAAGATATACAAGTTTAATACTGGGACATTCCAGGCAAAGCAGTAACATCTCCATGGAGACGAGAATCTTCTACGCTCACTAATGAAGTTAAATCGACTGAGTGGCTGCATACATTGGTACAGTGGATAAAGTGTGTAATGTTACAAGTGCACATATGTCGGCGTAAGTAGGAGTCTTCTATTATTACTACTGTTTGAACATCTGTTTGTGAGCTGGCAGCGCACGCCGCAGTGGGAGGAGCGGGAACAACCGGAGAAAAGTGTTTCATTTAACACACTGTAAAGTCTACGAAAACAACTGCAGGGAGGAGGGAGGACAGAACATGAAACAGACTTTTAACAAACTGTATGTGAGATTCTGATTTTAAATTGCACAAACATGACCTTATTGTGTCCCCAGATATGAGGACATAAATGTATCTTTGTTCAAACTGAATATGATAAACATGATGGCAAAGTTCTTTAAAGTTGCAATTTGCTGTTTTGGTTGTGAAGATGATTAGAAAGCAGGATAAGCCTCACATAAGTATCTCATTTGGGTTGGGTTTCATTGGTGCACACAGTGACTTTGTTTACATGCACATCAAAAATCCTCTCATTATCTGTTTTCTGGAGTTCTCTGATAGTAACATCTGATGTGAGTACCATATTTTTTAGACTATAAGTCGCACTTTTTGTCATGGTTTGGATGGTCCTGTGACTTATACTCTGGTACAATTTTCAGACTGACAGCCTTGAGAGGGCACTCTAGGCTTTGTGTCAGTATCTGTTGCTCCTGTTACTCCTGTATCACTGTCATTTGTCTCTATTGCGCATGTCTCCTGCAGAAAGAGCCTCTGTCCTGTCTGTATCATGTCAGCCGATCGCACCATTACTTCTGTACCACTGAAAATTTTAAAATTTAAATAAACTTATAAAGACAACTGAAAAGACTGAACACAAATGCCCTCAAAAAGACAATCATATTTTGCAGATTACAAGCTGCAAGTAAAGGAAATAGTCAGCTGAAAACGGTAATCGAGCAGCAGAAAGAAAGTTTGGAGTGAGCGAGAAACTTGTGACACTGGGAGGATGCAACATGCATTTTTCCTGGAAGTCACTGGATGGATCGACCAAGCCTGGACTTCAGTGACACTGAAACCATCCTGTCGGGATTCAGAAAGGCCGGAATAATTCTAACTGGAACTGATGCTGAGTCTGACGATAGATACACAGAAAGTGACAAAGAGGATGATGAATTCAATGGATTTAGTGATTTGGAGTGAGATGGAGAGTTTGATGAACTTGTTCTGTTGTGTTGTTTGTGCTATAGTTTAGCTGAAGAACTGTTCATATGTGACATTAATAGTCTCTTGTTCTCTGTTCTATTGTTATTACTATAACTTGACTTTTAAGATAAAATGTCGGTTTCTGGTCTCTGATTTTATAAAATAAATTTCTCCAAAAAGTCCATTGCGACTTACATTTTTTTTCTTCTTCACTACTCATTTTTTGGCTGGTGCAACTTATACTATGGAGCGAAAAAAAAATACTGTAATCTGATTTCTTTTCTGTTCACACATGTGCAGGTTTTGAAAAGGAAATGCAAATCGCAAAAAGACTTGAATTAATGTTAAAAAGATTGAAAGAGTTATTTTAACGTTACTTGTATTTGCAAATATAACAGTTACTTTCTAAATCCTTTGAGTAACACGTGTGACCAGGTGTTTCTTTTGTGAATGCTCCACACATCAAAAAACAGATCTGACTATTGCGGTAAATGAAATGTACTCCTTGTTATGTCGATATTATTTTATGATTGCAGTGACTAGTGTCTTGTGTGGAGTAAGTGCTGAATGGGCATTTTCACATCGTCATTTGTAGCTCTTATGTGTTTTATAATGCTTTATCTGGCTGCTGTTACATACACGGAAAAGTATTGATTTTGTTAGTGGATTGATGTTGCCGTCTGCAGGTACATTAGTGTAATAGGGATTTTGACTTGAAATTGGGCATTCTGTAGATATTTTATTATTGATCTTTTTTATTTTAAAATGACTGTAGAAAAATGTGGGTGTTACTGGTGCAGAAAATTAAAGTAACTAAAGCAACATTTGGTGCAATGGTTGGATTTGTGTTCACTTTAGAGGTTTTATATTACTCAGAATTGACTCTTGTGAGCTTTACGCCACATTATGATGTTATTTTCTCATCAAGTTGTGTTTTGTTTCTTTGTTTCAGAGAAGAACTCAGCCTAAACATGCAGGGTTTGTGTCTTAAACATGTATGAATGAAACAAAACTCCAAGTATGTTTTTGATGAGGAAACATTATAACATAAATCAGAAAATAGCATCACACGGGCCCTTTAAAGCGACAAGAAGAGGCGTATTTCTAAAGCTAATAAAACCGCAGCTGAAACCCAATACTATGGGATACAGTGGTGACAGGAACTCCCACTAATATCACGGAAAATAAAGACATGCTGGGACAATGTAAAATATGCATAACAGTAACTATAGTAACAGTGGGGAGGCACAGACACTGCATGAATGTAAATGTTCTCATCAGTCTTACTCAGAGCTGTAGTTTGGTCCTTGCATGTTT